GTATATAAACATCTAAGGAAGAGCTTTTTAGGCAAAAGGAAAGGTAAGTGCAAAGATTTAAATTGGGAACATGCCTGGGCTCAGGGCATAGAAGCACAGTGTGTCCAGAGAGGAGCAAATGAAGACCTAATTAATAGGAAATGAGATTGGAGTGTTATTCAAGTTATATACGTTCTTGTTCACTGTTTTCAGTGTGTTTTGTGAGTACCACACCTATTTCTATTGGTTTTATTTCTGCTTGGCTGGTAACAATAACTAAGTAAAAGTAACCATCCATGTCCCAGGAGCAAAAGCTTTTTCTTTTTTTCTTTTTTTAGTTGTAGATGTACACAATACCTTTTCTTTCTATTTATTTATTTTATGTGGTGCTGAGGATCAAACCCAATGCCTCACATGTGCTAGGCAAGCACTCTACCACTGAGCTACAACCCCAGCCGCCATAAAGGATTTTTCTCTATTGAACCTCTATATCCTAAGCAGCTTAATGCTAATCAAGTTTGAATTTTAGGACACATATCAAAATCACAATGCTACCTGTAGAGGCTCAGCAAATGACTGGCCTCTAAGAAAGCTCACAAGGTGACCTTTGCTTCATGAAATCACCTCTGAGCCCAAACTGCTTTTTAGCCTTGTAAACTAGAAACATGAACTTGTTAGTGTCTCAGTCAGGTAGTCATGGAGAGATGCTGATATAGTTTGCAAGTAACTGACATATAAAACTCAAATGCCAGTTTATTAATTTATAACAATAAATCTTTCAAGGAAACCAGTCACCTAAGTCAGTGATCAGTGCTGCTTCTTCCTGTAGGGAAACTATGGCTTTGGAAGCCACTTTATCACAAGATTGGGTAGTGATCATGGTAATTGAGTCAGTCATCTGAGTGTGAGTGTTCTTAACCTCTGGCTCTGTGTGCTTAAGCTCCAATCTCCAACACAAAGCTATACTTGTCAAATAGGACCAGGACAGAACTTCCAACACATATTCCTTACTTGTCTATTTTTGTAATACCCTTCTTATGAAACTCTCCCAAAGATATATTCTTCCTTTAGATGTATTAATGCCTTATTTAAGTCTGACTATGGTTAGTAATCTAGAGTTCCACTAATGTGACTCTGCACATTTTTACTCTGAACCATTGTAAATTAATTCATAGCTTAATTATTGGAGGATAATTTTAGAAGTGGACCAATTTTCAACTGACCAAATTTACTAACCAAAAATTTGCTCTAGATATCTTATTACTATTAATAATCTGATAAAGATGAAAGATGAATGTGAGCATATTCAGTGACATGTTTTTATTAATATATAGAGAGAGACATGTTTTTATATATATATATATATATATATATATATATATATATAGAGAGAGAGAGAGAGAGAGAGAGAGAGAGAGAGAATGGATATGATATGTGTAAATGGATACATATCCTCTTGAATATATTCAATGTATTTAAAACTTCTTTTGGATATAGTTTCATTATTAACATATTTTAAAATTATACTAATTTATTTCTAATATTTTAAGAGTGTTTTATTTTTTGCCCATAGATCAACAAGACTAGTTCACCAGTTGGAATAAATTATCTACATTTGCAGAAATAACAAAAACTGAAAACTTAAAAAGATATAAAGTTCATAGCAATTTTTGTGAAATATTAGTTGACAGATTCTCACTTTGTTTTTATAGCAGTATTTTTAAATGCTTAGATTGTTTCTGTCCCAGTTTCTTTGCTCCTGCTGCAGAACTGCATTTCAACATAATTGGTTTCCTCTGTAATTTTGTGTTTTATTTTATGAATTTAACAAAACATTCTGCCAAGGAGTCCATAATTTTCATTATGTTGTCAAAAGGACTCAAGGAAAATCAAGGTAAAGAACTCCTGGGCTAAGGGAAAGGTGGGAAAGAGAGAGAGAACCAAAGAGGAGATTCAGCAGATGGCCTGATCTGGTCCTAGGAGGAAGAGAAAATGAGGGATAGAGAGAATGGTGCATGGTCCTAAGTCCTCAGAAACTAAGAAGCGTGGCTCCTATATGGTTTTGCCAAATCAGTTATTTTAATACATTTGTAAATTAACATTTTGGTAACTTGATGGTTCTTTGAATTGACCAAAAAAACACCTTCCTGACTTGCTAGAGCACCTCTAAAATATATATGAAATGGATAGCTTTCTTAGGTCTTTTATTTCTTTCATTGTATTGGTTCATGTAAAAATAGATGTTTTGCTATAATGAGATATCTGTTCATACCCCTGATGACAGGCATGACCAAAAAAGGCAATATAACGATAACAAAGATTTGAAGAAATTAGAAGCTTCACACATTACTCTTGGGGATGTAAATTGTGTAGTCATTTTGGAAAATAGGGCACTTCTTCAAATGATTAAACATAGTTATCATATGCATCAGTCAGCTTTTCAATGCTGTGACTAAAAAATCCAATAAGGACAACTTAGAGGAGGAAAAGTTTATTTTGGGTTCACACTTTCAGAGTTTTAATTCATAGTCAGTGGACTCCAGGGTTGGGGGCCTAAGAAAGGGCAGAACATCATGGTAAAAGGGCATGGCAGAGGACTGCTGCTCAGCTCACGGCATTGAGGAAGCAGAGAGTGGGGAGCCAGGGACAAAATATAATCCCAAGGGTGTGCCCCAGTTACCTGCCCTAGACCTACTTCCTTCAGTCACACCCCACCTGCCTACAGTTACCACCCCATAATCCATTCAAATTATTAATCCAAATGGGTCAATCCACTGATTAAGTTACAGTTCTCAGAATGTAATCATTTCATTTCACCACTCAACATTCCTGAATTACCTAACATCATGTATTTTTCAGGGCACACTGCATATTATATATATGTTGGTAATATGGTGTTATCAAGTCATAAGGTCATGTTACCTACTAATTCTCCTATTCATATGCCCATGAAAGTCAAAAACACACGCACAGGAACTCTTACGTGTAAATGTTCATAGCAGCATGATTCATAATAGCTAACAAGTGGAAACAACTCAAACATCCCTCAAGTGATAAAGTGGATAAATAAAATGTGGTAGTTTATATAATGGTCTATTATTTGACAGTATAAAGAATGAAGTACTAATGCATACTACACCATAGACGACCCTTGACACATTATGCTAAATGAAAGAATTCAGTCACAAAAAACAACATATGTTTCCATTATAATGAAATTGCATAAAAAGAGAAAGTAGATTAGTGGGGATACTAATTAATTAGTGGGGTATTTTGGACTAGAGAGAGAGGAGAGAAGGGAGGGGAAGTGGCATGGTAGTAGGAATGATAGTAGAATGAATTGGACATTATTACCATATGTGCATATATAATACACGACCTATGTAACTTTACAACATATAAACCAGACAAATGAAAAATTATACTCCATTTATGTATGATGTGTCAAAATTTGTTCTATTCATGTATAATTAATTAGAACAAATAAAAATATATTAAAAATCATTGAATTATACACTTCAAAGGATGGAAGTAAAAAATAAAGATGTGTGTTCCTTGTGTAGTTTACACTGACATCGGGAATTTTGACCTTTTTATTTTTTTATGAAAGGACACCAACAATCTTCCAAATTTCCATTGTGCTTTATTGCCTTGGGTGTTATCATTGTCTGGTTCAGCATAGATACTGATTCACTTAATAGTAAAAAAATAAACTATGTTATCTCTTAGAGCTTTAGATCGATGTATGGATCTATTTCAGTGAACCACTGGATATGAGAAATGGAATCCTTTCTATTAACTGGTGGCAAGAAAAAACAGCAGAGGTTCAGGAGATCCTTTCCATAATGTGAGCAGGTAGCATTTCTGGACAGAAAACGAAAGTGAGGTAGAGAAAATTTTGATTGGTCACTGCTTAATGTTGGCCTCATTTGAACACGTTCTGATCAAGTGGAAGCCTGTGACTGACTGAAGCATGGCTACAGTAATTGTCTGAGACTCGGCTATTTATTACAAAAGTATACTCCTATGTTAGATTTTCTGTTCGTCTAATATACTGTATTAGTCAGCTTTTCATCACTGTGACCAAAATATCTGACAAGAACAACTTTGAGGAAGAAAAATTTATTTTGGAGCACAGTTATAGAGGTCTCTGTCTATGGTCCTCTGACTCCAATGCAGAAACATGACAGAAAAAGACCTTGTGGAGAAAACCTGCACAACTCATGGCAGTCAGGAAAGAGAGAGAGAGAGAGAGAGAGAGAGAGAGAGAGAGAGAGAGAGAGAGAGAGAGAGAGAGAGAGAGAGAGAGAGATCCACCAGGAGAAGAGAAGAGGGGGCCAGGGAGTAGAAAAACCCTTCAACTAGGTCCCACCTCCCAGTAATACATTTAGTATCAATGGATTAATCCACTGATGAAATCAGAGCCCTCATGATCCAATCATTGCCTAAAAGTAAAAGTCTCACCTCTGAATCTTTGCATTGGGAACCAGGCTTTCAGCACACAAGTTTTTTGGGTTTTTTTTGGGGGGGAGGGGTGAACATTCCAGATCCAAACCATTACACATACTAACTTAAGTTGCAGTTCAGAAATGAGAGTGAGCCTCAGAATGAATTTAGTTTAATTTAATACTGGGTAGCTGCCTTGAGAAACAGAACGTATTTCATTAAGGATACTTCACTTGGGTTCAATTCTCAAACACCATCAGCACTTGCTAGCTATAAAAGCTTGGACCAATGACTCTTTGATCTTTGGTCCCTTCATGAAAAATGAAGATAATAATACCCCCCATCATAAGGTGTTCTGAGAATTTAATTATATGCAGAAAGCTCTTGGCACAGCATCTAACTTGTAATAAGTATTGAATAAATAGTTATTCACACAATTACTGTTTATATTTATTATCATGATTATTTACAACAGTTTCTAATCAAATGCTTTCCTCTTAGAGTAGGCAAAAGATCTTTCATGGCTGTTGACTCTTCTTCTCAAGCCCTGTTGATGTGTACTGTCCTCTTCACAGATATGACATAAAAGATATGATGCAATTCTTAAGCGTTTACATTGTCAGTTGAACAAGGTTCAGTCAAATAGAAGATAATGGCGAAGGAACATTCAACAGCTGGAAAAAACTGCAGCTGAACTAAGAAAATGTGTTTGAAAAAAAGAGTGACATTGCCATTGGGCAATGTGTAACACAGACCATGACAACAAAACTTTGGGGACAGAATTTTAAGAAAACCCTTTGGTTGCTTAACAACCAGCATCCACTGGCAGAGGCCTGTCTTAATGACAGATATATTTTATCTTTTTTGAATCAGTTATCTGTTGTTTAAAGTACTTTCCAACCTTATAACAGGTGGCACTAGATAGACAAAAGCAATGCTTACAAGAAAATAGTGGAAGAACCTGTGTGAACATTTCAAGTGTGTATAATACATTACGCTTACATTTTAACAATGTTGAATTCACTGTGCTACAAAGTAAAAACTTAGAAGAAGAGAAACAATAGAATTTTCAATAATTTAAATTGTTGAGATAGTAAAAATGGTTGTTTTCAAATTTTTATTGGATCATTCTTTTTACTACTGCCATATTAGCCCACAAATATTAATATTCACAATAATGTTGTTATATGTTTAATGCTCCAGATATTTCACTCAGATTTGTCTTTTAGAAGGTAACAATCATTTTTATTTCTTATTAAATAACATATTTTAGAGTATTGCAACACGTAATAATTTTGTTCCTTTTTCTGGCTATAAATTCTTTATTTCTACTGTGACTAAATTAAAGTTACAACATCATGTAAGGCAAACATACAAGCAAGTTCTTGAAAGAAGTTAACTGGTATAGACAAATATATTTTTATTCTCCTAGAAAAGCAAATATTATGTCCATGGCAATAGATCAAATGTTAGCTTTTTCTTTTAAAATAAAGGTGCTCCCTTTCATGGCTCCATTGAGTCAAATACTTAGTAGCAAAAACAAAATATTAATTATTGCCGAGACTGTTTTAAATATTCACTGTAGGACAAAATGATTTCAAAGCAACATCAACAACACATTTAAAATCCTTTTTCTCCTCACCTTTCTATATGCCTGAGATTCAATAAAAGTATAGTTGATACAAAATCTGATATAAATAATCTCATTATGTCTGACATTAATAGTCTTATCATGGCTTAGCATGGCTTACTATGGTTAACACTTCAAATAGCTTATCCTGTAACATAATCAGCTTTGGACCATGACTCAGAAACACAGCTACAAATGAAAATAGTTGAACCTACAGATTGTAGAGAGTACCCACTAAGCTAAGCTGGAGATGAGGCAGAAACAGATGCTGATCATATAAATATATTTTAATATAATTTGTAGGTTAAGAATTCTTATATTGACACTTCACAATTTTAACTATAGCTTATGGAAAGAAAAATTTTCTAAACTTTAAGTTTATAATAAGATTCAAAATATTTATACATAATAAATAATACCTTATATAGTTTCAGGAAAATCCAGTGTCTAAGAAGTGACTGCACTAGGTGAAAGTTGTCAAGAGACCACAGAAAGGGGCAAATAGATCCAAAATTGCACAGAGTACACATTATGGGGGACTCACTGACAGAACCATGGTCAAGGATGACGATAAGACTAGTGGACCCAGGGCTGGGGATATGGCTCAAGTGGTAGTGTGCTCGCCTAGCATGTGTGAGGCACTGGGTTCGATTCTCAGTACCACATAAAAATAAAATAAAGATATTGTGTCCACCTTAAACTAAAAAATAAATATATAAAAAAAGACTAGTGGATACATAGCAATATAGGCTTAAAAAGAGTGGCTTTCACCCATGTAGAAGTATACCTGGATTTATTGGAAGCTAACATCAAAGATGTCAAGCATATTCCTGGAGCTGACAGTGCTAGGGTCTGGTCGTAAAGCTCCACATACCTCTCTAATGATTTTATTGATCTGTCATAGTCTGGGAAACTATATAAGGCAAACAGGCCAGAGGTTTTTCAGAGGCAATCATGGTGGCTACAATTCAAGATGGTTGCAGTCTGGTCAAGCTGGGTCCCTACAATCATATGTGTGGAAGTTCATTTTTAAATTCAGATTAAAAATATATAGGTCTAATCTGCTTCAGATAACGTAGTTTTTAAAAATATCATTAATAATACATGCAATTATTTTCAATTTTGTGGCAGCTAAATTATTTGAAAGCATTTTCCTTTCTCTTTCTAATCTTTAAAATGATTTCAGATAGTGGAGATTTTAATATTAATCAAGAATAACTAAAGCATGAGGTGACCTCAAACTTAATGAATTGGTAGTCATGATATTTCAGCCCCATCATAAAGCCTAAGGTTGGAAAATTAAAGTTTTTAAATTTTTATTTCTGTATAACTGAATCTAGCTTAGAATATGAGATCTCTAGCCGAGTGTTCTGTTAGACTCTTTTCTGTTACTATAACAGTATATCTGAGGCTGTTTAGTTATCAAGAAAAGAAGTTTAGTTATCCCATAGATTTGGAGGTCAAAAGTCCAAATAGGATAGCACCAGCTCTGGCAAGGGCAAGGGCCCCTCTTGCTACATTACCTCATGGCAGATGACATCATGGTAGGATTCGGTGTAGGAATGACAGATCACATTACAACATGGGAATCCAAAGATCCACTGTGGACTACTTGAGGTGCTAGGAGAACTATGCAATCTCTGAGGACCTAAGGACTTTCCATTAGGGCCCACCTCTTAAAGGTCCCATCTCCTAGACATTACCACATCGAGGACCAAAGCTCCAACATATAAACCTTTTGGGGACATAAATTATATACAAACCATCTCATGGTCTTTCTCACATATTTCTTGTTTAAAACTCTGTCTCTTTAGGGTCAACACTCAGTTCATAATTCTCATCCTCATTTTCTTCTCCTTAGAAATGGCAAGTCCCTGGAAGGCAAGAGTTGGTTTCACAAAGATGTAAGCAGAGTTCAGAGATCATCCAAAACATCTACACAACTTGAAGCTTCAGAGCCAGCAAAAGTACCACAGGGATACTCTCAGCACAGCAAAATAGAGACAGCCTAAAAGATCTAGGTCAGCCTTGGCCCAGATCCCCACTGACCTGCATGGGAGCTTGGGCCCAAGGTAGGCCAGAGTCCATCCTGCCACTGGCAGACATCAGCTGAAGCTCAAGATCCACCCAGGACCACCTTCACTCACAGGCCCAGGACTCCCTCTGTCCATCAGTAGACACCAGCCAGAGTCAGGCTTAGCCCAGATCTGCCTCACTGATCTTCAGCGGGAGCCAGGGCCCAGGGTAAGCTTGGGTCTACCCCCACCTCGAAGACCAGGTGTAACCCAGTTTCATCTTGAGACACTGCAGCCAGCTCCATAGCCTTCACCATGCAGTAGCCTCTACCTTGGGACAACAGAAAGGGCCTAGAAGCAGCTGTATCCTGGAGCAGGCATCCCAAAGCCACCTGTTCAGCCCCCATCTCTGAAAGACATTGCATCCATCTTGGGGCACCTCCACTGCTATCTCCATTTTTGTCCTGCAATTACCACCACCACCTACAGTTGCAAAAGCATCCATCCTGGGACACCAACAGGGTCTGGAAGCCCAACACCAAGGTGAGACACAGATAATATGCACAGATACTACAAGATTATAGGGTAAAAATTGTAATACCTCGGATCCACACTACAAGTAAGGAAATCAAATAGAGAACATAAAAAAGCAAGGGAGGAAAGTGCCCCAAACAAACCAGGATACTATAATAACAGAACCTATGGACAGTGCCATTCATGAAATGTCAGAAGAGTTAAGAATGTTAATAATTAAGATGATCTGTGAATTAAAATATGTTCTAAATAAGAAAATACAGGCAAAAATTGATCACTCAAAAAAGAAGAAGGAGGAGGAGGAGGAGGAGAAGAAGGAGGAGGAGGAGGAGGAGGAGGAGGAGGAGGAGAAGGAGGAGGAGGTGGAGAAGAAAAAGACGGAGGAGGAGGAGGAGGAGAAGAAAAAGAGGAGGAGGAGAAGAAGAAGGAGGAGGAGGAGGAGAAGAAGAAGAAGGAGGAGGAAGAGGAGGTGGAGGAGGAGGAGAAAAAGATGAAGGAGGAGGAGGAGAAGAAGATGGAGGAGGAGGAGGAGAAGAAGAAGATGGAGGAGGAGGAGGAGGAGGAGGAGAAGAAGAAGGAGAAGAAGGAGGAGGAGGAGGAAACTTTTGAAATTCACACAGGAAACTTCAATTGATTTGAAACTAAGTTCCTTATCATCTTATACTGAACATGGGATTCACTCTTCATCCATAAAACTTATTAAACTGCTATATGAATACTACAGTTACTTGAGTCTATTGGAAGTGGCAGTCCTTGATTCAGAAGAATGTGTGGTTTTGATTTGCTAGTTACTAATATTTTACTTGCTCATATTTTCACTATTATATTTTATTTTTCATACTAAGCTAATGCTTACTAAAGCTAACGATCAGAAGCTAGAAGTTACGTGCCTATCAAAAATAACCTATGTTATTTGAATTCATAATAAGCTTCTAAGGAAAGTGTTTTTCTTTGCTGATAAATTTGGCAATGTAAGAAACAGGTCTTCTATATGATATTAGCTATCATATAATACTTTCTCTTGAACATTACTGAACTATGACTAAAACCAAGAAAAGTAAATTAAAATAGATACTAATAGCACAATAGATTTATTCAATACATAGCTAAGAATGGGATGCTCCAAATTGCTTTCTCTTTTTTGCAATGTTCCATTTAAATGATGGCTGTGAGCTCTAAATCTTTAGAAAAATAAAAATAGCATATGAATTGGTAATGACAGGGTTGCTGTTTACATAATCCAGTGAAGACTGACATGAAGTAATGAGCCTCCAACCTCTTAATTAATGAGATGATGTATTCCAAAAGCAAAAACCAGAGTTCGGGAGAGAAATTGTTTTAAAAGTCTTCTTACCCAGAAAGCTCTCTGGCATAAAAATCATGTCAAAATTGGAATAAAACACTTAAATTACAGAAATTTGCCAGCATTGCTCAAATCACAGAGCACAAGGTAATTTAGAGGCTGTGATAATACACTGTCAGTCTAAGATATAAATTTTCCATTATTTTTTCCTAAAGTAAATAAGTCAAGACA